AAATTAGTTGGCATTGAGGGAGTACACTGGCCGCCAAAAGTTGCCGAATACCGTGCAATCGGAGAAGAAAACCAGCTGCCCGTCCAAAATTTATTCCTATCCATCCTTTAAATCGTTAAATTAATCATTAAATAAATGATACACCAGAAACGTAGAAATTCTTCTTCAAACTTCAAGAAGAATATTCTTCGATCTGTAATTTAAATTTAATTTCGAAAAATTATCAATCATTCACGACGAATCCGAACGTTCGTTCCGCTCATTTCGCAACTCTTCTCCCTTTCGATTCAAAAAATTGTGCACCCCACGATTAAAAATTTTACCTCGTGCCTTTTATCTCTCATATTTCTCGATCGACAAAAAACGCAATCGATCCGATAATCCTCGTGTCGCGTAAATGAAAACGTTGTTTCAAAGAGCGAAAATATTCAGGAATCAAAGGACTCGTGCCGACCACCTTACTCTCGCCTATCCTCGAGTTCATTCTTCGAAGGATAGGCGCAAAAAGCAGAGAGGAAATCAGCGTGCGTGAATCGCCGAGGCCCGACACGCCGCTCATTTAACGCCGCGTACGCGCCCCTATCTCGGGCATGCATCAAATACGCTGGCGAGAGAGAAAGCCCCGTCGAATAACGTTGGAAAAACGTTGGAGGGAGGGGAGAGGGCGAGACGAGAGGATTGAAAGACGGTTTGGGGGCCGTCGCTTCCGACTGCGTCGTCCCTGTCTGCTTATAAATAACACCATCTCCCCCGTTTCTTCGCGCGTTTCGCAGTTTTTCTCTTCCTCTTCTCTCCTCCTCCTCCTCCTCGTCATCCTTGCAGCATGCTGCTGTGCAAGGCTAATTAATATCACGTGATGAGCGATCGCGGCAAAACCTCTCCGCGAGAGATCTTTGGGAAGAATGCGTCGTGGATGGAATAACGTCGTGTTGTGGGGGGGGGGGAGAGAGGTGGTAGAGAGGTTCGCGTACGTACTGCGAGCGCGTCGTACGCCGATGGCGTTGATGGTGAAAGAAAAGGGCGTGCGAGTTTTAGCGAGATGGATAAATGTGTAACGAAAGAGAGGAATAACAGGTAATCAGAGATCGGTATCGTTGGCTTCTCGTGTGTTTGTCGTAATTTCGTATGAAGGAAAATTTTTATCTATACTATGATTTTTTGTTGAAAATTGCCACGACGAAAGATTTATAAAAGAGAAACAGAAGAATCTTAACTTTCATTCATCCATCAAATATCAATCGCGATTTCTAAGATAGATGTGCACATCAGATGAGATGTTTTTCCAAGAAAATTGCTAAAAAAGAAAAAATATCAAAATATTGCCAACGAGAGAGCTTGGATGGCTCGAAATTCGAAATCGGATAGAATTTTTCAAAGAAAAAATTGTAAAAGAAGAGCAGCATCTTTCATCAATCGAAGAGAGGATGGCCGGGGCTGTTGTTTCTCGGATTCGACACGCGAGATCGCGTTGTATCGGGTCGTGGCGATCGAGGGCGATGGAAACGCGCGAGCAACGTCGCTGTCCGTATCCGAGTAACGTAGATAACGAAACGGTCGGCGGAGGAGGAGGAGGAACGAGGAGGGCATTCTCCGCTTTCGCTCGGTCGAGAAGCAACAAAACCGCGGCTCTCGGGATATAGAGGACACATTGTGCGCGCGCGGACAAGAGGAACGCGTGGTGGCGAATCGACTGCTCGCCTCGCACCATCTCGTCAACTCGAGCACTCGCGGCCCTTGCGAGTGTTGCGCGTCCGTTCGTTCGTTCGTTCGTTACCGCCGCGATACCATCTTCTCTTTTTCCTCTTCTTCTCCGCGCGTTCTGCTCGCTACGGCGTGCCTGCGCCCCTTTTTTCACCTCGCCCTCCTTCCCCCTCCTCCTCGAGACGAGAGCCGAGCGAGAGAAAGATTCGATTCTCGATCGCAACGATTTCCTTCCCGTTCTTTTTCTCGCTTTTTTCCGCTCCTTCGTTCGAGAAGCGTGGAGAGAGAGAGAGAGAGAGAGAGAGAGAGAGAGAGAGAGAGAGAGAGAGAGAGAGAGAGAGAGAGAGAGAGAGAGAGAGAGAGAGAGAG